TGACCATTATTCAACACTGAGCTAAACAGACTGCTGTTAGTTTTCCTATCTCACACTGTGCTTGGTCATCCATAAATGAGTAAATACCAAGTATCATTCATTCAGGCATTACACCTCATCCAGACTGTATTCTTGTCATCTCCTAAGATCCTACAAATATAAATTAAGTGAAGAGGGAAGTCCATAATTTATGAGTTATCACCCTGTCAGCAGCACTGTTACTGATCAGCACCACTGATTGTTACTGTGCCAGGCACTATAAAGCCATTTTTTTGTTTTTTAGACAATGTTCACAACCCCCTTTGATACGACTGCTGTTATCCTTGTTATACAGATCGAGAAACAGGGAGACTTTAAATAATCTGCCTAAAGTTAGAACACAAAAAAAGTCAGGATTACAGCCCAGTCACCTGGCACCAAAACCTAAACTTCTCATTTCTACACTGCTATATTGCTAGACTATAACTTGTCATCACACTGCCATGATCATTAAGTATTCCCAAGTTATCAATGAAATGCCTATAAAATGACAGATTCTATGGTCAACTACAAAGAAAATGCAGAATCCAAGATCAGCTGTGCTCAAAATGAAGGATCTTTAGAATCTCACAATGAATATAAAATAATGAGATTCGTTGCAATACAGGTGGAAAATGCAAAACTGTCATTTTAAATTAGTAAATAAGTAGATATACTATTTAAAAAGTTCAGGAACCCTTATATATTGCTGGTGGGACTGCAAATTGGTACAGCCACGATGGAAAACAGTATGGAGGTTCCTCAAAAAACGAAGAATTGATCTACCATATGATCCAGCAATCCTTCTACTGGGTATTTACCCCAAAGACTTGAAAACTCATAGCTGAAAAGATATTTGCACACCGATGTTCATAGCAGCAATATTCACAGTGGCCAGGACATAGAAGCAACTGGAAATATCCTACGATAGATGATTGGCTAAAGAAGCTGTGGTACATATATACAACGGAATATTACTCAGTCATAAGAAGAGATAAAATATTGCCCTTTGCAACAACATGGGTGGGCCTTGAAATAATCATACTAAGCGAAATAAGCCAGACAAAAAAGGTTGAAAATCACATGGTATCACTTATACATAGAATATAAACCTAAAAGCAACAAATGAACAGAACAAACAGAGACACATGGACAATGGACTAGTGGTTACCAAGGGTGGGAGGTTAAAAAAATAAAATGTTAAGAAAAAAAAAAAAAGAAAAAAAGTTCAACCTGAGACTCAAATAGAGTCTATCTGGCAATGAGTCCAAGTTCCCAGTCTTGTCTATAACCTTCTATCATAACCTGATTCCTTCATCCCACAAGGAGCTCGAGATGGTAATACTGCTCTCCCCCTTGGTTTGGGAAGTTAATTCATAACCAACCAAGAAATACTGACAAATAAGTAGATGAAAAAAAGAAAGTTTTGCTATATTCATGCAAGTTACATTTATTCTGGTATACTTACAAGTTTTGTAATTTCTGACCTTATAATGTTTGATAGAGTAAAAAATAACTTATAAATTTAAAATGTTTGACTTAAATCCTTAGAATCATTATACTAAGAATTATCTAAGTTTGCCATCTTGCAGTGATTAAAATAATGATATATTTGTAAATATAGTGTGAAATGCCCAAGGAACTTTGAGGATGTACGTGATGATAAATATTTTAAGATTAAATTATCATTACAAATTAAACAATCAGTCTACGGCCATGCCACCCTGAACATGCCCGATCTCGTCTGATCTCGGAAGCTAAGCCCTGGTTAGTACTTGGATGGGAGACCACCTAGGAGTACCAGGTGCTGTATGCATTGAAAAAAAATTTTAAACATTCAAAAGATAAAACATACTTGTCTCTATAAATATAAGATTTAAAATTGAACTTAAAGGTTTAAAAAAATGACTACACATAATTCTAATAAACCAAATACTGATTTTATTACAAATAATTCTTAAAGACTTTTCCTTACACAAAAGGCTTACTCGAACATTATTTTAAAAAAAAAAAACTTAATGATAATAAAATCTCTAATGACAGACTACAAAATAAGGATCTTCTGATTTTTGTTTTCTAATTAAGGAAGAGTGTGGCCTACAAAATTGTGCCATGCTATTCAATGACTAAGCACATCAAATCTCTTTCTCCCTTTTAAATACACCCCATCTTTATAAACCTAGTCCTTCCCAATTCCTATATCTAATTCTATAGTTCTGGTTCCTTTTTCCTCTTTCTTCACCACCTATAAATCATGAAAATTCCAATTAAATTTTATGGATTTACAAACCCAATTGCTAATGCAAAGTTAGGTATTGAAAGATAACTAGTCTCAATTCTTCTAAGTAGTATCAAAAATATTCTTGCTTTCAAAGGACAGGTTGGCGTAATAGCACGGTCATAAGTCTAAGATAATCTGTAGCTTTATCAAAAGTGATATTGGAATCACCTGAAAGGCTTTAAAAACTAGTGATGTCCAGTCCCACCGCAAAGATTCCGATTTAACTGGCCTGGGATACGGCCTGGGCACCTAGATTTTAAAAAGATCCCTAGATGGTTCTGATCCAAGAATGACAACTATTAAGTAAAAGGAATAAGTTAAATGACGTAAGGAAACAAACATAAGGAAATAGTGAAGACAAAACCAAAATATGTAATATTCTACAGGGTAACTGACTCAGGGCCTTCAACAGATCAGTGGCACAGGGGGAAAAAAAAACTATGCAAGATAAAAAGATGTTTAAGACACAATCAGTACAATGCATGGACCTTTGTCTGAAGCCCAATTCAACCTAAATATAAAAACACATCCAGTGAACAAATCTGAATATGAACTAGGTATACAACACACACACACCCACTACCCACGTGTAGTATCAAGGAAATATGGATCATTTTATAAACGTGATACTGGAACAGTGGTAGCATAAAAAATCATCTTTAAATTTTTTAGAGATGCACCCTGTACAATTTAGGGGTGAAATGTAATGTCTGACATTTACTTTAAAATACTTCAGCATATTAACCAATGAAAGGAAATAAAAGAATGTCTGAAATTTGCCCAAAAACCATACAGCCTGGGGGGGAAGGAGGTAATAGATACAACATTCTTTCGGAATCCCTGAAACTGATAAGGGCACCCGGTGGATGGTTCATTATTCTATTTTTCTATGTTTGAAGATTTAATAGCTTACAAAAAATAATACACCTCAAAAAGAAGCCAAAGTAAATGCAGCAAATTAGCAATGAATTTGTTTGTTACATGGGCGTTCATTACATTATCCTCATCTGAAACACTTAAAATATTTTTTTAAAAAGACTTTGGGAAACTAGAAGCTATCCATACACCTTGATAAAATAATAATCCTCCTATATACAGGAAACTCTTTCTCTACCACTTAGTGCCGGGATGGGGGAGGGAGAAAGATAAAAAGAGACACCCACCAGACCAAATCAGCCAGGTGATGAGTGATGACATGTGTCATAGCAACATCACAGGAGTGTATCAGAGATTTTGAATAATTTTCAGCAGAACGGTAAAGTAGGGTTTTAAGCAATTCTAACAGCAAAAACCAAAACATACATAAATGTATTTAAAAGTGACTTTTCCAGTAGTTAGTGCATTATACTGCCCTCAAAATTTGTACATTTTCTCTCCAGTAGCACTTCACTGTCTCATCAAAGTTCCATTCAGTGAAAACACTATTATTTCTCATCAACAAGAGTAAAATACAACAAACTAGTCCTGTTTCTTTGACTTAAAAATTTCAAAGCATTAACCTCAAAACATAAAAACTCTGCCATCATACATAATTTTTAGAACTCACTTTCTTGAAAATATTACTTGCTTCTAAATGTTTTCATCAAAAAACCGGTAAGACACATATTAAAACTGGCAATTAAAAAAGAAACCCTTTGTTACTTTCATCAGACCATGTTAATATTTAACTGTTCATGTAGAGATGACAAGTCCATTATTTTTCTTTTAATTCAAGAATGGTAACCATATCCTACCGACTTTTGCTTACAGATATTAGAACTGTGGTAAAAGATCATTCATGAGTTGTTTTACTCATACAAGATGCAGAACAGGGCCCCGCAACTAAAAAAACATCCTTTGTCCTGATACAAAAATTGACAAAAACATTTTCCTGAAAAAATGTTTTATTCCACTAAGGACAAGCGATTGGATAAAACCGAATCACATATTGTGAAAGCAACTAAACAGACCGACAGATAAAGGATAAGGAAAAGAGAACTATAATCTACATATTGGTGCTCCAAAAACAGAAACTTCATAGTTAGGACCTATTATGTACAGCAAGATCACTGTAAAAATTCATCGAAATAAATCAGTTCAAGGCATTCAACAAGTGTAGTTTAGAGCGGCAAAAGTAATGGAGTGGAATATTCTCACAGCAGCAATGTTTTTTTTATTATGCTGATGGGGTGAAAGAAAAAAATGCCAACGAGGAACATTTCTCGACCTTTCAGGCACCCAAGATTCTATTCCTAGGGAACAAGTGGTCTCAAGACCTGGGCGGGGCCAAAGGAGGATGACCAATCAGAGCTAGAGTTACAAGTCGGGTTACGAAGACAGACGGGTGAGAAGAGCTCGCTGAATGGCCAGCGCGCCCCCGCCCGCGCGCACGCGCGCCCCCG